GTTTTATAGATCCGTCATCTTAAATGTAGTTGTAGGAATGATAGCCTGTTTTGAGGATGCCCGTCACATGGACAAAAATTTAGCATATTTTCTCAGTAATCGAAGGTAATTGCCTCGGAAACAGCGTCAACAAGAATGTTCCAGCATATTCAATCGACAGCTGGTCAAGAGGAATCGGCCGCCGTGTTCTGTTGGGATCGACCTTCGATGCTATTCACCACAAACTCTCACTCGAAATGAAAGTGAGTTCAGCAAAATGATAATAGGACAAAAAAGATGTAAGCATTAAGAATAAAAGAAGTGAGATAACACATTTGGTTAACTCACAATGCGTAATCAATGGGGGAGGATTGTCGCTAATGAGAATAAACTAAAGGCTCCAGAACAAGTGGATGACAGCTATTTGGGTATCACAGTTTAGCCCCATTAGCACTTTTGACTTAAATTTGCAATTGAAATCGGCCTTCTAATGCAAAGACAAACATACCCTAAACAGATGGCAGATCCAAACGGGCCTGGGCCTTGTTGGGCTCCCTATGGAGTGGCAGGGAGTATGTGGGTCAGAACTTTGACAGCTACTGACTAGGTTACGCAGTCTTAAAACTAATGAGTTACAAATCAACCAAGACTTTCAAGTAGAGTCAGGGAGATCTTAGATAATGTCTACATTATCGCGCTTCTTCTTTGGATTGGTACGGTAAGGAGGTGATGATAGTATCATATGACAAACAATGTAATCTACCGAAAATCTGATCCCTGATAGTTGCGAAAACCTAAATACGATAGTCACTTTAGTAGGGTGGGTGGGGTTAAATTTTATCACCATCACTGATTGTATTGCGTGGTATGGGTTTGTCTAAAGAATCAGCGAATCTTGCAGGGGATACAAGTTGGTAAAGAGGGCATCGCAATTTGTCATGGTTATTAACCGGCCTTAGGACCCGCCCTGAGTGACAAAAGGTATGTTAAAGGACAAAGCGATGGGCGAGGCACAGTTTACCTGACGCATTGAAGAGACGACTCCTTTCTTGAGACTGATACTGGTCAATGAATTCCCGTCAGCTGAGGAGTTTGAGGCGGAATCTTGGCACTGCGGAGATGAAGCAGAGAGGCGCTTTCTAGGTGCACGATAATTAAAAAAAAGCTTTTGATAGAGGGATAGATAGTTCATAAAATCAGGTTGGTGATAAGTCAGACAGAAGCAGCAAGT